AAGCCTCTCAGAGCTTGCAGGTTAGTTGTCGGACGAGATGAGGCCTAAATAATCATCCTTGATGGTTCCGATAGCGTTCTACAACAGCAGCAGCAGCAACAACAACAAGTCAGACAGACAGTCAGACAGACAGTCAAATCCAAGCTCCGCTCTGCCACATTTGCACTCACGATCTCAGTCACGTCGACGCTGACGCCCATGATCTTGAGACGCACACCGCATCCCTTGCGAATCTCGACCTCGCGGTCGTCCGAGATCCACGCGTTGCTCTCGTGGTCGTAGCCGTTGTTGAGATCCGTGGGCATGGCGTGCCGGGACACGAAGACCTGCAGAGGGCCCACGTCCGCGAAGAAGCCGAGCTGGTTCACGACCGTGACCACGGCGTCTAGCACCTGGTTCTTGAAGGGGCGGAAGAGGATGGCGCGGTAGCGGATGTTGAAGCACACGAAGCCCGAGTTGTCCTGGATCACGCCCTTGCCGATGTCCTCGTCGCGCACCTCCGTGACCGTGATGACGTAGCCGTACTTGCCCATGGACGTGCCCTCCACCTCCTCGATCAGGCGCAGACGGATGATGTCGTGCAGCTTGGGCCCGAAGTGCATCGGGTGCAGCAGCAGGTCGCGCGAGAGCTGCTTCAGGAAAAACATGGCGGCCACGAGACACAAGTAGCAATGAGTTGGAGCTGCTGGGGCAATGTGTGGACCACATGGAATAGCAGGGTTTGGTAGTAGAACTGGGAATAGTAATAATGTATACAAATATTAATATGATATTACTATTATTACTTTTACTAACTCCCAGTGAAACGATTAGTAATAACTAGAAATAGTAGTCCATCTCGATAATATTAATAAAATAAGTAATAAAGCTATCAAACAACGTCAACCTCCGCTCAATAGGTGCTGTGGCGAAAGGTTGCAATCGTTTCCCTCTCACTTCGCAAGTCTGTGCCTGGAGCTCAAGTCTGGCTGCAATGAAGTGTGCTATGGCCGGTTGTGTAATGGACGACGTGGAGGAAACGTCTCCATGCTGTATTTGTGGCCGCCCTGTTCACCATATCTGCTGCAACGACCTGTGTGATGACGATGGGCTCTCCAAGAGGTCTGAAATCCTGCACTAATCTAATGTCTTTCTCTTCTAACTTAATGCTGCGCATGTTCAGTTCTGCAGTCGAGTGTGCGCTCGCATCTACAAGAATGAAGATGAAGTGCAAGGATCACCATCTCCACTCAGCAGCCAAGGCACATCTGTGTCGAGCCAAGCCACTGAAGTGGGTGTAATCGGCCTAGCAGGATCTCCTGCTTCAACTAAGCACCCTCAATTCGTCAAAACATCGGTATTCCTGACTCTATTCTTCATTTTAGGGCCCCCAGAAGTCGTGATAACGTGTGGGGTGTGATTCATTCACTAGCGGAACCAGTGACTATCAAAGGAAAGACGTATATGCACATTTACACACTCTGTGCTCAGACAAAGCCGTGGAAAAAGGTCCTCTACATCTGTGGGAACAGCTCCAACGCCAAACGCCACATGATAGGCCATTCCAAACATGAGCTTGCGGACAAGGAGCAAAAAATCCGAGGTAAACGGGCACAGAAGTTCCTGACGAACGACACCAAGAACAAGACTCCGATACCTGGCGCAGTCGGTGACCCAACGCGCCAGAAGACGTTCATTTCGTTGACCAAGGCGCAGAAGGCCGGGTTGGTCTCACTCTGGTTGATTCGGGACGGCGGCTTGGCATGGCAATATGATGGTACAATAATGTGTCTTATTAATAGTACTATTGCTACTTGATTAGGCCTAGTGTTCAACATGGCACAAACAGACGCATTTAAATATATGCTCTGCGGTTAAACCGGAGATGCCAAAGCTACGGTCCCCGTTGCTAAGACTCACAACGACATTCTGGACGCGCTGTACGAGACATTTTTAAAGGATACGACTGAGCTGCTGCAGTCAGAGTTCGGGATGCTATACAGCATGCGGGTTTTGAACTTGGCGCACGATCTGTGGACTAACACCTCCAAAAATTGCATCGTGGGGGCATCCATCAGCTTTATAGATCACACCTGGAATTTTATGCACCTGGCATTGCTCGCCGTGACGAAAAAGGATGGCCATGATTCAGTTAATGTGGCGGAGCTGATCAACGTTAAGTTGCTAACGTTGTTCGGATTAGATGTGGAGACAACAGTGGAGTATACAATATCGGGTACGGCAGCTGCAGCTCGCAAAGTATCCACGGAGTTTGACACTTCTCTACAGAGAGACTACGTCATACATTGCCTGGACCTATGGTGTTGGTCTAAAAGAGAACGTACAAAATCGTACAGTAGCAAATGCGGACACCAATGTGCAGTTGAAAGAACGTGTTATCGTGACAGAGGGGGGTGCGTTTCCTGAAGCTGCTATTGTGATAAGGAAACTACGAGCGCTCAACAAATATTTTGCGAACAGCGTGGCTGTTCAGCGCGGTCACAAGTTGAGTTCAATCCAGCAATGCCACGGACTTCCACAACTATTCCGTATCATAGACATCGATGTGGCCTTCTTCGAGTTGCTTCAGCTCGCATGAACTCGTACAAATTATCTGCCTACCAACTCACCCGCCCTCAGATGCATCACAAAACAAAGCAAAAGTCGCGCTGTCCTTCGGATGGGTCAGCATGGCCGTGTCCGCTAACAGCTTCTTCACGTTGGCGAAGGTATCGAGCTCGAATTCGTTCAACTGCAGTGAAATACTAGAAGCCACCCATTTCGTCTTACGTTTTCCATCGAGAGCTCGATCAAGGCACTGCTATAGAGGCTTCACAGCTCGGGTGTAGTCCACCAGACTATCCCTCATCCAATTGGATGCGCGCAGATGAATTGTTGCAATTCACGAGCGGTTGTCGGAAGAGGCATGTTCGACAGTGCTGCCACTGGTTTCTGGTCGTGAGTGATGCCTTCCGCAGATATTGCCTTGCCACACCACATCACGGACTGTTTGTACAGGCAGATCTTCGTCACACTGAACTTCAAACCATAATGAGCCATCTTGTCGATCAACATTTCCATAGCTGCCAGGTATTCCTCGGTGGTGTCTGCATACAACAGAAGATCATCGATCGATCCAGATCAATAGTGACTCGTAGACGAAATTCGAAAAACATTCTTCCATCGTGGCCTGGAAGTGCAGGGCCGCATCGCAACTACCCTGCGGCACCCGAGTCGGAGCAAAAACTCCCCCATCTGTCGCGTAAGACAGAATTTCCTGACTTGCTTCTGCCAAGGGCAACTGATAGAACCCCTTGATGAAATCAAAGAGTCTATAGTGCGTATTGTGTCTCGCATGGTGTAGCTTGGCATCGAGGTTTGACATCACTCCAGCTATTGATTCGGTCATAACATTCAGCGGCTTGTTGTCGCTCGTTTGCCGGAACTCATCCGTGCCTGGATTTCTCACTGGCAATGCAGGGCACGCCCACCGACTGGTTTGATTCTGATATACCCAGCCAAGTTCCACTAATTTGCTGTTGAACTCACGCATGAACTTGCTCTGAGCTGGCGAGTATTTTCTCGAGTTGCATCTATATGGCTTGGCGCCTTCCATCAAACTGATTTCATAGGCAGGCATTCTGGCTGGAGGATCATTGCGAAGATCAAATCTCCAATGTCATGTTTCTCACCAGTTTCTCCAGTTCCTGTCGATGAGCTACCGGAAATCCTGCTGCTATCGCATCGTCAACCAGCTTGATCAACTGCTCCATTATCTCAGACAGATCGGATGTTCAGTTCGCTTGCCGTCAATCATGTCGTACGGATCGCAGTCGTCGTCGACATGCGGCTGGGAGAGCTGGTGAAGCAGTCGATCAACGTCGATGCCCAGCGATTTCAGCAGATCCTTGTCCACGATGAACTCAGCAGCAGCAGCATGAATCACTAAGCACTCGACAGGTTTCTGGGGTTCGACAATTCCAGCAGCGGTGCCAAGCTGGATGACCAGGTATACAGCTCTTTCAGCTTCGACCCAATGCTCCCCAACTGCACGACCCTTAACCGGTTCCCTCAAATTCCTTATCGGTACTTCTTTCCCCATTACCGTTCTGAGCTCTTCCAAGGTCTTGGAGCTGATCAGGCACCGATCCGACCCGTTGTCTGCGCAGTAAGGCTTTTGGAGGACACCATTCAGCAGAATAGTGTCCGCCTTATTTCATTTATCCTCCCGCAGCCACTTCATGTTCATTTCGCTGGACTTGCCCTTGTTTTTGTGGAATTGCTTCGGTAGGTCTCGCTTTTCGGCCTCACTGGCCTTGGGGCACTTGACCACCCAGTGAGCGCCTCCACACTTCAGGCATCCTTTATCAGGAGCAGAAGTAGCGGGGTTCCTCTTTGCATCATGGAATGTTGGTTTCTGCATCGGCACATTGACTGTCTGGCATGGGCCTTTGATCCCCCAATTGCTCTGGCCTTCAGACTCCACCTTGCGTCTTAGATTTTATTTTCCACCAGCTCAAGTCCGTCTTGGCTTGGCCGGAGTTCGATCCTGCGCCTCGACTGTCTCGAGCGCGCGAGGTCTTCTGCTTGCTGTTTTTGTGTATGCTCGACGTAGTGGTCTGCGGGGACCCAATGTCGGCGAGTTGGCGTGGGTATCGAGCGATTAAGGGAAAGTTCGGGCTGTCGACTGAGACCCAGCCCGGGACATCGGACGACAAACTGTCGACACAGTCGGCGCTCTTAGTCGTCGTGCAGCGCACCCATAGGTTCTGGCTGCGGGTCCGTTCGCCTGGGAACAGCCGGGACCCTCCTCTTTCTCAGCGGGATGCCGCCAACTGCTGGTCGCCCTATATACCATCGTTCAAGGCAAAGGTGGTAGAGGAGTGAGAAGTGGGAGGCATGAGCGTGATGAGGGGTGGGTCGGCATGCATAGTAGGCAATGGATAGTGTGCGGTTTGTTTGTGTGTGCAATGAGTGTTTTCGATGTGGTGAAAATATGTGTGCTGCGTTCGGTTGTAAGAGCCCCTATAGCTCAGTGGTAGAGCACCCGCTTAGTAAGCGGAAGGTCGGTAGTTCAATCCTGCCTGGGGGCAAATTCCTTGCAATCGTTTCACGTTCGATCGTCGTCGGCGTCGGTCGTGAGCGAGGCGTGCTATGCGCCGTCTTTGCGCTTTTGCGCT